TCTATCCTCCTCGTCCTCTCTCTCCTCCTTATCCTTCTCGCCCTCTCTATCCGTGTTACCGCATGAGAGGGTAGAAGGACATCTTCGATTTTTGACCTTGCGGCAAATGCAAACTCGCCACAGTGTCCTTCTCTCTTATGGCACCACTCTAGCACGTGACATCACAAACATATATTGCCGAATCTGTAGATTTGAGAGCAAGAATGCATAGTCATAAACATTCTGTTCTACATTTACCTCATGATGCTCAAAACGTTCATAGACATATCGATGGCTGTTCTGCTGGTGCATTCAGTGTCTTTCCCGTTTTTAAGATGAACACACAAGATCTGTTCATCAGAAAGTTCAAAGAAAAGGAATTTACAAGAAAATATCATCCATCACTAAATCCAGACGATGAAGAGTAATTGACATTTCCATGACTGCTATTTCAAAAATCAAAACTCAACTAAAACGAAAAACATTTCATTTTTTCGAAAAAGTTTTTTCTAAAAGTTTTAAATCATTTTATCGACTGAAGTGAGCACCAAAGTGTGTCTCGAAACGCGTATCGTACTTTCTATAATCTGGTTATATATTTGAATAAATGTTTTTTCTTCTTCTCTGTTAGATATTTTTTTAAATATTAAAATCAATATAAATGACATGAGAATTTCAGAATAAGCACTATTTGAGCTTAAGAATGTAACAGCAGTAATTTTCATTTTATTAAGGCTCCCCCAGAAATGATGATTCTCGGACAAAAAAATCATCTTGAGATAAGCACATGGAAAGATAGCCTGAAGTGTCTACTTTCAGAATCTGTATCGCTTTCAGTTACAGAAGTGATTTTTCGCGACTTTCGAGCAACATTTCCAGGAGCCTCGAAAAACCGGACCTTCAAATAATAGCTTTTTCCTGGATATTTATATAATCAAATTTTTTTCTGAGCACGTAGATTTGTAGAGCAAACTTCTCTGATCAAAACAAGACTTCGTACAGCTCTGTATGTCCTTGCATCAAAAAGTTACAGGCATTTTCCTACACGTCCTAAAACTGAGCATTTTATACATCGTTTTCTCTACATGGGAGTTCCGTCTGAAGTATTTCCCAAGATTTTTTAATATACTTCATGCTAGAGAGTTGATGATGATAAAGTAATTATAAGAATTCTGCATTTCTGAATGCTGCCCTCTTTCATCCGATATCCCTGTGGGTAATCACAAAATACGTGTTTATGTGCACAAAACATTTTTTATTTATCAAAAAAAAAAAAGAAAATAGAACGTGGCACTTTAATCCGGCTAAGAGCGGCTCTGTTCGCTTGTTTTGCAATCTAATTTAATATTAAAGAGAAAGACAATAGAATAAGTAAAAATAGTGTTGTCATTTCAGTGTTTGGTTCACTTGAGGTTGTCAATGATCTAGTTAAATCGGACCGATGCTGTTTTTCTCGTGACTTTTTGACTAATAAGTCTTTTAATATCTTTTGTTCATCGATGTTGAAGTTATCAATCAAATATTCATTTAGTTGAGCTAATTGTTTACATTGACTTGAATTTAAAACACACGAAGAATTAGAAAAAAAACAGCAACTGGCAACAATATTTTCCCATTTATTAATAAAGTCTTCAAATTTCGTACGTTGGTTGAATATGAAATGGTAATTATTACTAACACTACGATCGTTGCAGAAGAATTAATAAATGAAATTCCCATCTAGAACGGTAAGTAGACAATTGAGAAAAAATGCTTTACACATGTGAAATAGCAGAAAAGTCTCTGAATAAAGAACTGAGCATGATCTGCGGAGTTTGGTTTTCACATGTTCAAACTAAAAAAAAATCTATCACTTGTCAGCAAAAGGGTATTCCTATAGCAGGCGTTTCACCGTGAAGGTATAGTAACATTATAGCTGGTATTCCCCGTAAGAAAAAAGTGTTCCACTTCTTGGTGTTCCCGCCCTTGAGAGAAGTTAAAAGACAGATAATGAGACAAAAGGCAGCATCGCGTCGTTGTACATGGGAAAAACGGGCCTCGTATCCCTCTGCCATTGGCTGCGCAATTCCGAATATCCAGGGACCTAAATAAACAAAAGAGGGTTTCTGTTCAATGTTTCTCGCAGCTAAAAAATGTCTTACCATCAATTTTCGTTCCATAATTGCGATTGTTATTTGTCTGATCACCGCTGGAATCCGAATCATCGCTTGAAGTCGAACTTGGGCACTGCTCAAGACGATTGTTATTATTGTTGTTGTTAGAGGCTCTCGTTGCGTTGTTACGATTGCCCCGAAATAGACGGCCACGATTATACTTACGCTTACCACGAAATAACGATTTATCTATTTGTACGACTTCGCCAATGCCACCCATTTGCGGAGCGTCATTCAGCTTCTCCTGACACATCTACATAAGATTACTAGTACAAACGAGTTATAGAAATTCCAGAAAGAACTTACGTCTCGCAAAAAGTTTGTCGGATCCATCACAGTCATTTATGTTACATGTACCAACGTGGCAATTGTTGACCACGAAGTGCCTAAACAGCACAGTCATATCAATTCCAAGATTGTACGCATATCAAGTTTCGAATTTGGTCGACCCAATGCATCAGTAAATGAGAAGAATGTGTTTTTACGAACATTTAATTGATTTGGACATTGTAGATTGGTACACCGCATTATCCGATAGATCTTGACAGTACCATCTTTGAGCGTCTTCTTTCTTGAACCATCGGTGAGCTACAGTGGCAGCCAAATTTTGGTCGCGAACGAATTGAAATAGTAAATCACCATCATTTAATATTTTGTAAAATTCTTAGTTGTCAGTAGGCATAGCCATGATTGTTGTTAACAGTTGTGGAGTGCAATATGTTACAAATCTTCCGCTTTTATAGTATAGTTCATACCGAACTTTTTAAAGACGAGATTACTTGAGCAGATCAAACAATTAAGTGATCCTATCTGCCTTTTGTCTCATTATCTGTCTTCTAACTTCTCTCAATCGATGTTCTTTTAATTTCTTTGATTTACCAGTATTTACTTTAATCACATTCGAAAAGACTAGAAACGAAACATTCATATTCATTTGGATGGAATATTCTTCTTCATTTTTTTCAAGTTTTTGCTAAGAGGAACACTTCTCTCAAGAGTGGGAACACCAGGACGTGGAACATCAGCTATAATTTCACCTTTAAAATAAGAAGGTGAAACACTTTTTTCTTACGGGGAACACCAGCTATAATGTTACTATACATTCACTGTGGAACACCTGCTATAGGAATACCATTCCCGAGTACTACGAAACCTTAGCATGATTTTACAACCCCAATGTGGTTTCTTTCTTTCACATTCAACAAAATCGAATCGACGACGATTAGTCTCCACTAAAATAACTATTAATCATACAAAAAACATATCGAATGTGTTGAATCTACTGAACTGAAACTTAGACCAACTCCATGAAAACTTAGATAGTATTATTATGATAATAATTAAAAATAAACTACCAATTGAGAAGAGCTTCGTAAATACCCTATAAGAAGTGACTATCATCTAACCTATACTACAAATAAATAAAAGATTAAAGGTCTAATAACTATTATATGTTAAACTCTAGTATAAATAATGGATTATGGAGTTCCTAACGGGACTGCTCCTGTGATTCATATAACTCTCTGACGAACTCTGTGAACAAGTGGCTCCACTTAGAGATTAGCGTAAAAAGTTCAAAAACTAGTGAAAATTCGGAAGGTATCATAGAGAGCGTCAGAGAGTTATAAGTTATGCATTTACTTCAATAGAATTTTAAATTCATTTCGAAATTTTTTTTCCATTCGTTGCTGACAGTTTTATTCTCACAGTTAAAAACTGAAACTGGTGCGGTGAGAATCTTGAATCCATTCATTCATTTATAATAACATTAAAATTAGATTTTGAACAATTAATACGAATATTTTCATCGGCACCATTCAGAAGAATCTATTACTAAATTGTATCCTCAAATTCGATCCGTTTTAGTCGCATTCCAAAATAAGTTCATATACAAAATGCCAGCTCTTCAGCTAGAAACCAGAAAGATCGCTTCGGAGCTTTCGGAGGTCCTTAATTAATTGTTTGGTGGTACATTTAAACTCGATGTGCCGTCAATATGTGAGCATCGAGGAAGGGATAGGGCTTGATAAAGACCAATTCTTCTTATCTTGCAAACAGCTTGGTAGTCCCACAAAAAATGCAATCTATCCTCTTTTATTTTAGTATCGTGACCACAGAAACCGCAAACTCTTGGTAAATTTCCTTTTTATAAAATACTACATCTTTTTTCGCAACAAATGCCTGTTCAATGGTCCTACTAGGTTTTCTTATACACAATTTACAAATGAGCAAAGAAGGCGTGTACTGAAAATTACTTAGCATTTTAATTTCTAATATATTAAGATTGAAAACAATTATGTTCATGATAAACATGCGAATTATTGCATTTTTAAAAGTTGTTTTCAAACGATATATCTGAGTGCTCAAAACTCTGGCTTAAAGCAGAAATCGAAAACGTCGACCACAACGTTACACATAAATCAATCAAAGAGGTGGCTAAATCCCAGCATTTTCAGCCGACCGGAGTATTTTTCTAATTCTCAGTGTCAACGTTGAGCTGTGTAGAATAAGCAACAATTCTCACGCTGAAAACAAATATTCACGT